TCCCATCACATACAATGAGTCCTTCAGTTACTTATATAACAAATATTTGCCAAAGGTCTGCTTTGCATCAGGCATGGGGACACCACTGTGAGCAAAACCAACTTTACAGGCTTACTCTACATGTAGGGGCAGATAGTAGATAGGTAAAGAAGTACATAATTATACTATGGGTTAGGAACTATTTTCATGTGAGGATAGGAATGATGTGTGATGGGGGGAGGCTTCTTGTGGTGGTCAGGGAAGGTCTCTCTGAAGAGGTGACAAGAAACCTAGTCCTGGAGGATGATAAGGAGCCTGGCAACTTATGTATGGTAGACAGAAGGGGTGGTTGTGCAAAGGCCCTGCGGCATGCTTGGTGTGTTTGAGAAACAGGAGGCCATGGTGGCTGGAGAAGGACAGCAAGAGCGTAATGAGGCCAGAGGTTAGCAGGGCCCAGGCACCCAGGGCTGTGTGGTAAGGAACCCAGTTCTTCAGGAGCGTAACCTGCATTTTATCCCCCAGATAGGAGGACATCGGGATTTGAATAATGGGAAGTAAGAAAGACAACTTACAACGTCTCCATTTGAGGGGACATAGGCTTCAAGTCTGAGGATGTGTGTGACCTGGGGCGAGTCACATTCCCCCTGTGGACCTCAGTTTCCCTTTGTGGGAGGACTGGCCCAGTGATCTATGTCTATTGAGGTGTCCTGGGAGCCTCTAGCTACCCATCATACACTGAAGCTAAAGAAGTGGCCCCCACTGGCATGGCCGTGGCAGTGAACACCTTCTGGAAGCCATGTCGCTGCTCCTCTTGACCCTGCTCTTATCCCCAGGGCAGACAGCTAGTAACTACTACTCTCCAAGGCTGAGCTGGCCTCATTTCACACTGGTCTTTACCCCAGGAGGAGAGTGTAAAGTGGGTGGGGGAGAGGCGGGAGGGCGGGGGCCGGAGCTAGTGTCCTTGTGCTGCTGTGTAGCCGCCTGGACTGTTGTGGGGGTGAGGCCAGGAGCCGGGCGGGTGTCATTCTTTATGAATGATTTCCTGACAGGTAGAGAGGCTGACTCAGCTGGCGGCCTCCCGCAGGCTGGCGTGTGGGGCCTGCTTTTCCGGAGCGCGGACTAATCTGCCTGGGGCAGCTGGCCCTGGGGAAGGAAGGGCCCACCCCGCTCGGTGGGGAGGGCCACTGTGCATCTTTGGCGGTTTTTCTAGCCCAGAGCTTTTCTTAGCTTGTCCAGGGCGGGCCGTGGGGGAGGCAGCAGGGCCCACCAGGCCTCTCTCCTCCTCCTTTCTTTTCCTTCCCCCTCTCCTCCCCGCCGCTCTCCTCCCCACTCCTCCCCACTGTGCTCCTCCTCGGAGGCCTGCCGTCAGCAGCTTTCAGCTCCAGTGCCCGCCTCACTCCCTGCAGCTCTCAGCAGTCTTGTGTCTGTGGGCGGTGGGGGGTGGAGAGTAAGGCTGCCCCCCAAGAGCCCCTCTGCCCAGCAGGCCTCCACAGCCAGCGGGTGCTGGGCGGGACTGGAGAGAGGGGGCTGAGCTCTCGGGAGCCCAGGGGGAAGGTGTGAGGAGGCATTCTGCCTTCTCCATCCACATACCAGCCCTTGGAAGCTGTCTCCCCAGAGAATTCCCTGATTGGCTCTGTCAGCCCCCCAGGGTCAGAGAGACCATTCCAGAAGGAAGCCCTGTGCTTGTGGCCAGCGTGGGAGGACATTCAAGCCTGTCTGAGAGGCTGGGCGCAAGACGTGTGTCTCTGAGCCCTGGAAAGTGAGGGAGAGGGGAAGGGAATCTGTGGAATGTCTGACCACCTACCGGGCCCCAGGAAGGACTGCCAGGGGCCCAGGTAGAACACTCCATCTCGTGGACACCTTATTTCACTAACTTCTTACTACAACATGAAGAAGCAATTATTATTTCCCCCATTTTAAAGATGAGGAAACAAGCTCAGAGAGGGGAATCCAGTTGCCCAAAGACACAGAGCAATTAAATGAGGGGAGTGAGGCCTCTAACCAGTCTGCCTAGCCCCAAAGCCATTCCTCACACTTCATCCCCTTCCTGTGGGAGGGAAAGCCTGTGAAGAAGGTGAATCTGGAGGGAGAGCCCCTCTTACTGGGTGCCAGAGAGAAGGATGAGGCGGGGTGATCAGGGATTAGAATCAAACTTGCTGTGTGCTCTCGGGCAAACCACGGCCTCTTTCTGCTCCTCCATTACCCCATCTGTACCAGAAAAGGTTTTTTTTTTTTAATGTTTTATTTATTTCTAGGAGAGAGAGAGAGAGAGACCGCATGAGCAGGGGAGGGTCAGAGAGAGAGGGAGTCACAGACTCTGAAACAGGCTCCAGGCTCCGAGCTGGCAGTCAGCACAGAGCCCGACGCGGGGCTCGAACCCACGAACCGCGAGATCACGACCCAAGCGAAAGTCGGACGCTTAACCGAATAAGCCACCCAGGCGCCCCTGTACCAGAAAGGGTTTAAACGAGGTGCAACTGAGAGCCCTGCCAGTGCCAAGGTTTCCCTTTTGAAATCACCCGTCAAGGCCCAGAGCTTTGCAGGGGGCTGGACACTGGCTTGGCCGAGGGGCCTGACTGGCTGTGGCTACCGGTGCCCCTTCCTGCGGGTCTTCGCTCTTCCTCCAAAGCCTCTTCAGCTCAGGAGAGGAAAGTGGAAGCTGAGCTCTGACTCCTCTTTGCCTGAAAGGTCTGTGTGACCTTGGGCAAGTCACTGAGCCCAGGCCTCAGAGAACGGGGTCCATGACCCACATCCTGCCTCCGTACTAGAGGCTCAAGGGAGATAAGGATGCCATGTGCCCTGGGACGCTCTGGAAGGAGGAGCCCCCGCTCCTTCCTCTCAGGTGTAGATGAGATTGGGCCTGCTGTAATTATCAACATTTGGAAGCAATTTGCAGCCGGCTGCAGGCGGTGGGGGTGGTGGGGAGGGGGCAGCCTCTGGAGGGCCTGGAAAATCTAGTTGCCAAGGAGCATCTGGGTCAAGGTCTTCTCCTCCCAGGCTTATCTGCAGGCTGAGTCCAGCCTGCCCCCTCATCCTGGTCTTTGTGGCACACCCCCGGAAAGAGGCCCCACCCCTGCGAGCTGAGAGGGGCTGGACGTAGCAAGGGTGGTTAGTGATGGTGGAAACAAGATGGAACAAGATGGCAAGTTTCAACATGTCAGGTTCCTGGAAGCCCCTGTCAGTGCCACCTCGGGGGAACGTCTCTGGAGCTAGCACACCAGCTTCCTCCTTCCACACCCACCCTTACTGCCCGGGGGCCCATGGGCAAGTTGCCCCCCTCGGAGTGCCTCAATTTTGCCATCTCTGAAATGGGAGCAATTCCTGTGCACCTAGCTGGCTCAGTCAGTAGAGCATGAGCCTTTTTTTTTTTTAACTTTATTTATTTTGAGACAGAAAGAGAGAGTACGGGGTAGAGAGAGAGGGAGGGAGACAGAATCCCAAGCGGGCTCCACACTGCCAGCGCAGAGCCCCATGTGGGGCTCGATCTCACAGACTGTGAGATCATGACCTGAGTGGAGATCAAGAATCGGATGCTTAGCCGACTCGGCCACCCAGACGCCCTCCCATGACACCCTTGATCTCAGGGTCTGAGTTTGAGCCCCACACTGGGCGAAGAGCTTACTTTAAAAACATACATACATACATACATACATACACGGAAGCAATTCCTACTCTGGGGCTGTTGGAGGAGCACATGAAACCAAGTGTGTGTTCTTGGCATCCACAGCGAGTCGGTCGGTGACAGCCATTGCTGCTGAGGGTGGCTGTTACTGTTGGCATAACACCTCACATGGCCCACCCCTAGCATTAAGCTGGACACTGTCCCCGGCTGGAGGCAGCTGTGTCCTTTGCCCCCTGATAGCACTGCGATGGGACTTCCATCCAAGCACCTGCACTGCACATGCTTCTTTACCCATCTGTCTCCCAACCAGACGGTGAGCTCCCGTAATCCTAGGGCTGTGCATCCCACCGCCGACCCCCATCATTGCTGGATGGGTGCTTTAACAGTCTTTGCAGGGAGAGGAGGGGAGGCGGGGCCCTTCCCCCTGCCTCTGGGCCTCAGGGTGCTACTGCGCGCTTCCCCCCCTTGATCTGCCGAGTCCCTCCCGGGAGCGTGGGGCTGACGTGTTCCCTGCAGAGCCTCCAGCCAGGCAGCACCGGGAGAAGCAGAGGATTGCCCAGACCGCCTTGGGAAGGGCACTTCCCTTCCATCCGCACTGCCACATCCTGAGCTGGTGGTTTCTGTCCCGCTGTGAGGGCTGATAAATGGGGCTGTGGGGGTGCCCGGACCCACTCCCCATCGCACCCACCCCCAGCATCCTAAAAGGCCCCAAATCTAGGAGGTGCTTGGTATGTGGTTGCTGGATACACATTTGTGGGTGGGGCTTTCTTACCTAGGGCGCCTACTGTCGAGGTAGGTGGGAGAGCAGATACGTAATGTCCCTGAACTTGCCAAAGACACCCCCATACCCAGCTCTGCAACTGCTACCACTGAGGTGCCTGCTCGTGCTGGACTGAGAGGGGTACCAACTGGAAGTGAAACCAATGTGAGGAGCTGGGTTCAGGCCCTCGGGGGCCACACGATGCTCTAGCACCACCGGGACCCCACATCTCTGTGCTGGCTCTGACTGGCAGGCGGCAGGGAGGCCAGGGCCTCGTGGGAAGGTCACGCAGCTGCCACCACCTCGTCTCTGCCTGTATAGTGGCACTCCGGGAACTGCCTGACTGAGGGGCTGAGGACAGGGCCGGCTCAGCCCATGAGCACCGTGGAGACACCAAGGGCCAATTCAACAAATTCTTTTTTTTTTTTAATTTTTTTTTAATGTTTTATTTATTTCTAGGAGAGAGAGAGAGAGAGAGACAGCGTGAGCAAGGGAGGGTCAGAGAGAGAGGGAGTCACAGACTCTGAAACAGGCTCCAGGCTCTGAGCTGGCAGTCAGCACAGAGCCCGACGTGGGGCCTGAACCCACGAACCACGAGATCATGACCTAAGTGAAAGTTGGACACTTAACCGACTAAGCCACCCAGGTGCCCCAATTCAACAAATTCTTATCGGGCACCTGGCCGCCGTGCAGCCTCTGCCCACATGATCCACGGTGAGTGATTCGGGACCGTTCGGACAATGGGGAGGGGCTGTCAGGGAGGGAGCACCTGTGAGGCCTTGCTCGCCACACCAAATACTGCTCCTGGACGGTGGAAAGACTGGAAGGATTTTTTTTTTTTTTGTCTTCCTGTCAAGGTCATGCCCCCATGAGGGATGAGGAGAGAGGGAGGCCAGAGACCAGGAGAGAGGCTGTCACCGTCTCTTTCCTCTCTCCTCCCTTCCAGCCTCACCCCTTCCAAAATGGAGTGTTTTCGGCTCTGAGCCCAGGTCCTCATGAACTGTCCTTATAAACAGCCTAGAGGCCAGGAACAAGAAAAATTCTTTGTTATCCTTTTTTCCTCCTTAAAAGACTAGCATACTGAAAAGCTGCTGTACGGGGGTAGGGAAGAGTCAGGCATGCCTGAGATAAGAAGGGCATGGGGTCCTCAAGACTGGGGGCCAGGGCCTGGAGAGAGGCTCGCTCAGAGCCCAAGTGTCCCAATGCCCCTCAGGGCGGTGCTTGATGCCCAGTGCGCCGAAATAGTGAACGTAGTGAATGTCCTCGCGTCTGGCCCAAATGTCCTCGCGTCTGGGAAGGTGCTACAGGGAGCAGTGGGAGAAAGGAGGGTGTGGGAGGAAAACCCAGGGTTACCTAGAAACTCAGAAGGAGTGTCTTGTGGGAGACTGGGTCCTGTGAGACAGTGTCCTTCCTAGCGCTGGTGAGGGTAGGACTGATTCCCAGGGCAAGCAGAGGGCCCCGCTGTCAGCTAGCTCTTCCCTGAGCCTGGGCACCCGGGGCTCTGCAGGTCTGGGAAGGAAGGAACCCGTTGGCTGATGATTTATCTCGGTGCTCCCGAGGGAGGTGAGGAATCCTTGCCTGGACTCCTTGGGGTAGAGACACAGTGATGTGTGCGGCTAGGGGCTGCTGATGGGAACCAGGAGGGCCCCACACCCAAGGTGGGCAGAAATGCAGACGCCCCTCCTTCCCCCCAGGAAGAAGGATAAAAAGCAGGTTGACCCAGGGCTGGAAGGAAAGATTGTGTTTACAGACATGGAAACAGGCGAGAGCGCAGGGGGCAGGGGACGCAGCAGGAGAGGATGCACCCGGAGTCTGAGATCAAGGCTTTGTTTAGGTTGCTGTGGGCCCCCGGGTTCTGTCTTCACCACGGTCTAGTCCACAAACTTGGCTGTGCAGGGTTTCCCCACCTGTTCATAGAAATCAGATTTATAGCGTCCATTTGTCACAAAACCCATGAAGGATGATCTTGTACAAGCGAAGTCCCAAATCCTTAAGAAGGAAAGGCTGACCGAGGAGTTTTTTGTTTTGTTTTAAGTAGGCTCCATGCCCTACATGGGGCTTGAACTCACGTCGCTAAGATCAAGAGTCGCATGCTCTACCAACTAAGCCAGCCAGGCGTCCCCTGACTGAGAAGTTTTGAGAGACAGAGAACTGGACAAAAATAATCCCAGCAGAACAATGTACGGGTAGAAGAGTTAGAATTGTTTTCTGAGTGTTTGTTTTTGGTTAAGGGGCATTGTTTGTGAGGAAGGACAGAGAGGAAGCCAAAGGTGTAGACTTTGTCAACAACTAAAGCTTCTTGGGTGAGATGAAGCAAGAAGACTGGCCTGTTTTTTAAGAAGGTCAGGTATTGTCATTTGTTGTTGCTTTTAAAGTGTTTTTTTTTTAATATTTTTATTTATTTCTAGGAGAGAGAGAGAGAGACAGCGTGAGCAGGGGAGAGTCAGAGAGAGAGGGAGTCACAGACTGAAACAAGCTCCAGGCTCTGAGCTGGCAGTCAGCACAGAGCCCGACGCGGGGCTCGAACCCACGAGCCGTGAGGTCATGACCTAAGCAAAAGTCGGACGCTTAACCGAATAAGCCACCCAGGCGCCCCATTTGTTGTTGCTTTTAAATAATAAATACATAAATACATAAATATTTATAATAAAATATTACTTTATTTATTTATTTATTTATTTATTTATTTATTTATTTTTGAGAGAGAGAGAAAGAGTGGGGGAAGTGCAGAGGTGGGGGTTAGGGGAACAGAGGATCTGAAGTGGGCTCCAGCAGAGAGCCTGACACGGGGCCCAAACTCACAAACCATGGGATCATAACCTGAGCAAAAGTCGTAATCTTAACCAACTGAGCCACCCAGGTGCCCCTTGTCGTTTGTTTTTGTCATTTAAATCCAGGTTCTGTGGGTTTACCAGAGGGAGCCCCTGACCCAAAGGTGCCTCCTGGTGGTTGGTTCTAAAAATACTGTTTTCTGGTTTGCTTTTTCTCTCTCATTAAAACAAGGCACTGTATGTACTTTTTTCCCCGAGTACCAAACAAATAAATCTAAATACAGCATATTCTCTACAGGATAAATTCCTGGAAGCCTAAGGGCAGAGTTGGTGGACATGAGCATTTTATGTTTTATTATTTATTTTACTTTATTTTTTAAAAGTTTTTTAATGTTTATCTATTTTTGAGAGAAAGAGAGAGAAAAAGAGAGAGAGCAAGCGGGGTAAGGACAGAGGGAGGGAGACACAGAATCCGAAGCAGGCTCTGGGCTCTGAGTTGTCAGCACAGATCCTGACACGGGGCTTGAACCCACGGACCAAAAGATCATGACCCAAACCGAAGTCGGATGCTCAACCGACTGAGCCACCCAGGCCCCTCAATTATTATTATTTTTTTAAGTTTACTTATTTATTTTTGAGAGACAGAGAGAGAGAGAGAGAGAGAACCAGCACGGTGGGGACAGAGAGAGACAGAAGATCTGAAACAGGCTCTGTGCTGAGGACAGAGAGCCCAAAACGGGGCTCAAACTCACAAACCACAAGATCATGACCTGAGTTGAAGTCAGATGCTCAACTGACTGAGCCACCCAGGCGCCCCACTTTTTTTGGTTCATTTAGACATAAATAAGATGAGACCAGGTAGATCACTTCCCCGAAGTGTCCTGTCCATAAAATGATGGGTTTAGACTAAAATAAAAAAAAACAAACAAAAAACAAAAAACAAAACGTAAAGGAGCCAGTCTGTTTTGGGCAGCCTGGCTCTGGCCCTGCCCTGGAGAGGAGGGTGTGTTAGACCCGGGCACAGCTACCAGGCAAAGGCTGAGAGAACAGCTGCTGGCCAAGGCTTGTGGGACAGTGACTGGCCCAAGGTCACACAGCTAGTGGGTCTCAGCTGGCTTTGCCTCTCAAACCTGTCTGATCTACAAATCCTTTGCTGTGCCTGCTTCCCCCTCCAACGTCTTCATCCATTCTACCAACAAACAGCTCTCAGAGTCCAAGGTGACCAAGCTCCCTGCTTCCTGTTAGGGACGCCACCGCGAGCAGAAGCAGATGCATCCTTGCGAACTTGAAGAATCTCACCCAGAAACATATAATTGCAAACGGAGCCAAATGGCCTGGGCAAGAGGCCGAGAGGAGCACAGGGTGAGGAGGGGACCCTGCAGCCGGCCCCCTGCTCAGCCTCTGTCTTTATCTTAAAATCACAAGGTGACCCTGAAGGGTTTGAAGTCAGGGTGGGTGCCGGAGGGAAAGAGTGAGCAGAAAGATATCTGTGTGCTTTTGAAGTTGCTCTCTTCATCTCCCTGGCCCTCACGTGTCCCCTGGAGCCCCACCTGGGTCCTCAGGCCCAGGGGACCTGTTGTGGCCGGGGCTCCCCCGCGGTGGGGGCATGTGGCCGTTGAGCCCATCTCCGGCAGCGGGGCCTGAAGTCCTGGCCACTTCCGCCCTTTGCTCTCTCTGTGGTTGGCTGGTGGGGCTGAGACATCTCCAGCCAGCGCTGAAGGGAGCAGGAGGGGCAGCCCGATTGTCCCACGAAGGGCTGAGGGCCTCCCACCTCCCAGTTTGTCTGTGGTTCTAGGGCCAGCTTCAACCTCTTCCTGCCATGGGTCTAGTCAGGAAGGCATTCTCCAGGCCTTCTCCCCACCCCCTTCCCATTTCCCTTCCCCACCTTCCCCCCAGGCAAGGAGGGGAGGCATCCTGGGGCTTCTACCCACACTCCCCATCAGCTCCCTTGTCGCTTCTGGTTTCCACTCTTCCCTTCCTCAGCTCCTTCATGGTCCCCAGGCCCAACTACCCAACATGGGGCTTTAACTCACAACCCCGAGATCAAGAGTCACATGCTTTTCTGACCGAGCCAGCCAGGTGCCCCAAAAGCCATTTAATTTGAAGAACTATTCTGTACTCTGAGATGATGATCTTCCTGTTCTTTTGTGTTTTAGTGTCCTGTCTAGGAGGGACTTTGTTGTTTATTTGCTTTTTTTTTTTGTTTTTTTTGCTCTGAATTTTGTTTTTTTTAAAGTGAGCGCCATGCCCAGTATGGGGCTTGAACTCATGACTGACCCTGAGATCAAGAGTCAGACGCTCCATAAACTGAGCCAGCCTGGTGCCCCCTATTTGTTTTTCTATTGTGGTAAAAAGCATACAACATGAGACCTGCCCCTCTTGACAAATTTGTTTTTAATTTTTTAAAATAATTATTTATTATTTGAGAGAGAGAGAGAGAGAGAGTGAGAGAGCATGAACAGGGGAGGGGCAGAGAGAAAGTGAGACACAGAATCTGAAGCAGGCTCCAGGCTCTGAGCTGTCAGCCCAGAGCCCACCATGGGGCTTGAACCCACGAACCATGAGATTAACCTGGGCCGAAACCAAGAGTTGGATGCCTGACTGACTAAGCCACCCAGGCACCACTCTCTTAACCAGTTTTTAAGTGTGTAGTACAGTATTGCTAACTAAATGCACGATGTTGGATAGCAGATCCCTAGTACGTATTCATCTCATGTGACTGAAACTCTGTACCCGTTGGCCAGCAGCCCCCGTTTCTCCTCTCCCCCGTCCCTGGGAACCACACTCCACTTTCTGTTTCTGTGAGTTTGAGTTTGACCACGTCAGATCCCTCCTACATGTGTGATCATGCAGGATTTGTCCTTCTGTGACTGGCTTATTTCATTTAGCATAATGTCCTCAAGATGCATCCACGTTGTAGCACGTGACAGAATTTCCTTCCTT